CTCACACACACGTCATGTAAATATCAAAATTTCCAATATGTCTTTCCTCATTGTATACCATATAAATTTCAAATGCCTTTTTCTGATGTTAATTCTATGTGTCCTTTTTGTTTCCATTTTCTCCAAAACTCCGCAGTTCTTGGTAGGATAATAAACTGCATCCAGCAGCAAAGACTCTGATCGGGAGGTTTTGAGGAGCGTAGAACCACCTCTTAGTTGTTGGGGTTCCCGGGTCTGCCCTGACTCTGGGTGGCAGCATTTGTTAGTGACCTAGCTATGGCAAATAGTGAGACTCCTACCACAACCTCCAAACAAAAACACTATGATAGGATAATAATACATTTTACTATTAAAAACAACAGCAATATATTTTATACAAAAATCACGGCATTGAATAACAGTTATACATTCTATATGTAGTTGAAGGCATACAATTACGTTTAAAATATTTAGTTGAAGCCCTAAAAATCTCTTCAAAATTTTTATACTTCGGCATTAAATACATCATAGAGGTGTTGATACGCTGCTAAGCAAAGCCAAATAATGTAAAATTTCATCGTTGCTAATAGTAAACCAATTCTTCATCTTTGAGGAGACTGTCCAGCATTTACAACCATGTAGGAGGACTGACATTATGTAACAATTCAGTATTTTTCTTAGTTTCTAACGAATATTTTCCTGATTTTAATATTTTGATCAGCTTTTTGAAGGCAACTGTCACTCTCTGAATGCACTTTCGCTGTTGCTATTTCCGTCTTGTTTCAAAAATTTTCCCAGCTATTTAAAATATTTTACTTGATTGATTTGGATATCCCTAATTTCTAATTTGCATGTTGGGCTGTTCCTTTGGCGATGTACGCTTGTAATTTGTTCTCCAAAATTCTAGAATACTTTAAATGTATAACGGCATTTTTTCACTGTGCTTGCAGATTTTGATGTTTGGACGAAAGCGATTAATTTCCTGTTATTTAAACAGTTTACTAATTAGTTTTCTTTAATTTACTGAAACCAGAAATAAGAAAAAAATATCGATTAAAAAAAAAAAAAGGTTTTCTTACAACGCTTTTAGCGATCGATTCATTTTTTTTTTCTGGTGCTGACCGACTTTGCACTTGTTATATTTTTGCCTCTGTCGCGGCCTTGGCTTCAAAAAAGAAAGTCACGGCAACATCTCGTGAATTATTGACTTTGCGTGATTTGAATTATTGCCTCGGATCGAAGCGGGCAACGTGTAAAGAAACAAGATTTAAAGCTTTGTAAGTTTCAAATCTTGTGTAGTAAGATGCGCTTATCTAAATATCGTACGTAGAAAAACAAGACGAATATAAGATAGCTACTCACAAACACAGAAAGTCATATACGTATTTGCAGAGACATACAGACGCACTTACATGATTAAAGCGGGGCAAGTAAACATACACGCAATGTCAGTGATTTTGTTATTTTGACTCGTTTCATTTCTTTTATCATCTTGCAATATTTTCTTCCTTTTTTATTTTATATTCCTTTCATCTCTTTTTTTTTTATTTAACTGTGATTTATTTATCATTTTTCAGTCTTTATCTAATTCTTTCTAGCTTTTTTCTCTTTTTGTTCATTTCTTTTTCGTTCACTTCTTTTCTATCAGGGCATCAAGAGGTCCCGTTTCCTCTGCGTCTCTGCTTTCTTCTATTCTTCGATTCTTTCATAATCACTTCACACGAGCTAATACACGCAAATTCACACACAAGTGCTCATGAGCTTATTTTTAATGCGCGCATATCAAGTTCTTTCTCTTACATTTTGTTATTCAATTATTTCTTATACTGTAAATTTTCTTTTACATATAATACGCTGGGTTTTATCTTTGTTTCTTGATTTCGTTTACACTCACTCTCTCTTTCTTTCTTTGATTTTATGTTTTTCTTCGTATATTTCCATCCCTCATCTATTTTTTAAAAAAATTATTTCCTTCCCAATTAAATTACTTCATACTATTTCCGTTCTTCTTCTTCTTCTTCTTCTTCATCTTCTTCCTCTTCTTCTTATTGTTGCTGTTGTTGTTATTGTTCTTAATATTATTCTTATTCTTGTTGTTGTTGTTATTATTATTATTATTATAGATGGAGTCATGATGCACGCAAGCACAGTGACGCTGGGACGCAAATACACGAAGACATCCAGACTGATAATGTTAAACCAGGAACTTCCATCACAGTCAAATGTCTGTAATTATTTTTTAAAATCAGTATCAACCTACACAAGGCAATAGTTCCACTAAAACACTGGGTGTGGAAGAATTAGGAACAGAAACAATAATAATGAGCTGGAAGAGGAAATAGTTATTAGGAGGACAGTAGATAGCGATTGACGTCGCATTTATATTTTTCCAGATTAAAATTGCCTGAAAATCATGGAGCCGGAAGAGAGTTCCACACGCTAGGAATGCGAAAAAAGAAACTGTTAGTATAGAACTTACGGCTAAAACTAACCATCTCAACTGTAAATTGATGCTAGTCTTGTACTTCTCATAAATTTAGAAAAAAAAGTCTAGGTGCCATAGCGAAGAGCGATATTTACTTTGTAGTAAATACAAAAATGTAACACGAGGCCAAAAATGGGGATGGAGAAAAAAAGGTGGTCTTCTTCTGTCTTAAAATTAAACTTAACTAGCCACAATCACTGACCAAATCATGTCACAATATTCCTTATACCAAAACAACAGACTTTTAATTTTCATTCTTACTACAGCCACTATAATGCCTCAATGTTTCTATGAAGTTCTAACTAGTCCACATATGTACAATTATTTTCTGTGATGGGGAGAATAAGCAAAAAAAAAAAATCCCCAACTGTAAATTGATGAGACCTCATCGCCAGTCTAGTGCTGCGCTTAAATTCATAAATTCTGCGTAAAAGAGCGAATAGCTCACCCGAACAATTACCATGAAAGTATTTATAGAAAAAAAAAACAGAGACAGGCAACAATACGGGATAAATTGAATGAAGCCGATCCACCAGATGACAACCAATAATATTGCTGATTCTTTGGATTTTATCAAGGATCTCGAGTTAAATAGCAACAGCACTGGACCATATTTGGCAGCAATATTCTAAACATGGAGGAATGGTAGATATATGTTTGTAAGAGAGATTCTGGAAAGAAAAATTACCTCGCTCGTTACAGCGAACAAATCTTCTTAGCAGCTGGCTTGCAATGGATTTAATGTTGACGACTTTTATTAAAACAGTACATAACATTGCAGATTCAACCCTGTTTACCCAGTCCGCTCAGCCAGTACAAACATGATGTTATTCGCAAATCACTATGACTGCCTCATGTTTCAACAAAAAATAAATAAAATTCCCAAACTATTCTCACTCACGAACAGCGTTGCCTAGAGCGTCATTCCCTAGGGGATATACCCAACTTCTTAATACCAGGTAACTGACAAGCAAATGTGTAATCTTCAGGACAATGTCAATCATGAATTTCCACAATTCCATGTCCTTTGTAGCTTACTGACTTTTGTCTATTTGCCATAACTTTTAAACCCTGCTCTGCCATCCATTTTCTCAAGCTTACCAGTATTCTAGGCGTTGCTTTCCTCTATTCCTCTTCATTTCAATCTGTCAGTGAGTATCAAATTTTTCAAGACATCCTTCCTCATAATATGACCTAGTAATTTCAACTGTCTCTTTCTGATGTTATATATTATTGTCCATCTTGTTAGCATCGTCGTCGTAGTTGCTCATATGTTAGGTCCATTATATGTTCAGCATCCTTCTGTAGAACCATATATTTGTTGACGCAAGTCTCTTCTTCATCTGTGACGAGATTGTCCATCATTCACTGTCATATAGGAGAACTGATATTGTAGTAGTGAATGCTATATTTAATGTATCCTATTAAAGTTTCAATTAATTATAATCAGGAGACATGAAGAATCAGGGCATTTAATATGATTATTATTTATGTGCTATTCTTTCATTCACTTTATTCAGACATTATGAGCTTCATATATGTTATGATGTCCTCTTCATTGACCTGTTTTGTTCATTTCTTTTTTGAGATCATTTTCTTACTGATCATTCTGAAATTACAACTTTCACGTTACGAATCCCGTAACAGATGAAAGTCTCCAGAGTACCACATGTACTGCAGCCGTAGCAACAATAGTGTGTCTAAGGTATTATAACCATTATTCAGTCTGCTTTTGAATTCAGCCTTTTCCATCTCCTAGACTTGTTACCACCAAAGGATAAGGGAATCCAGTTTGTTTTGCCCCTCATTGAGGCAAGTAATGGATTCATATTTTCAATCGTTTTTATACAAAAACGAAAGAAACAGCATTGCCTGGAGTTTGAACTCGGCACACCAATACCATATTTTCATTTTTATTGTTTTAAATTTTCTACCAGTGCTACTGTACTCGAGTATTGTATGTAAATAGCGGGTTGCATTATACACGGGGAATTTTTTAAGAGGTTAGAAATCATGCATTTTTGATGACCAGTAGTATTATACATAGAGACATTTTTTTTTTCTGGAGAGGTAAAAATTCACTCAAAACATTTAGCGGTCGAACTATACATAAATTCGTCTTATACACGAGTATATACGGTGCTTGGATTTGTTTTTGTTCTTTGCTGTAATGTCTTTCTTCATTTCCATTCATTTTCCTCCTCTATTCTGCTTCTATCCGAACTCACTTAATCCTGTTTCAACTCAATGATCCCTTCTTCTATTTCTTTCTTTAATCCTTTCTCTCTCTTTTTCTCTTGTCACTTTCTTTTCCAGAGCGTCTTTGCGTCTGACGAAGAGTTTATCCTTTTTCGAATATTTCGTTTCTCCTCTCCGTCATTTAGATTTCACTTTATATAGGCACCCCACCGCCAACCTGACTGTTTCTAAGAATTATTCTTTCATTCCATCTATGTGATCAGTTCAGTTGTATGAATACGTAAAGCACACACCTCAACAAATTTCTTATCGAATCCGAATAAAATAAAGCTTTTACCTTGAACGCTCTCGCAATTTCTCTTTCCACTTTCAGACGAGGAAGCCTTGGAGTGACTTGCTGGATTTTGTAAGTTAAATCTCGTTTGGCCCATTTACTTCCTGTGAATAAACAAAACAATGAAGATGCATTAAAAACATTGAAAATAAAAATCAAATTAAGCATTAAAAGAATGTGTCTATTATTGCGTAAAGAAAAGAAAAAATCTATAAAGGAGATTTTAAATGTAATGAAAACATGGCTACCTAAATCTTTCCAAATCACACTGAGAAAAATATTTCTGCTACATACAATTTGAAAATACATAGACGTACATTTATATACACCTTAGTGATAATTTTCGACAAAACTAAATGATTCAGATGTGTTTTTGTGCATAACAAGAAGGAATCACGTTTGAGAGCCGAGTTCGAACTCCAGGCGAATACATTACATTACCTTACGTGCTTGGGAAAGGTATTGATCCTCTTCTTTTCCCTCCAGTTATGGTTAAATATCAGGACAGACTGGGTTGTGAGCCTTGGATGGCAACTAGTCTAGGAGAATGACAATTCTGAATTCAGAATCTGCGTAGGGTCCTTTGGGGATCTTTGTGCCACAGAGTGGCAGGTTTTTGTGTTCAGCCCTTCACAAAATGTGGTTGGTTCTGCACAAAGAATTCAACACTATAATCAAATCATATGTGCAGGTGTCTGGCTGTCAGTTCCTAGGAATTGTGCTGCTTCATCGTCATGCGTTGAATACGACATAACAAGAGAAAAATTTTCGGTTAGCAAATGATAAATGGGGCATTACAAATTAAGAATCTGCAACATAGATCTGCTACTACGCCAAGGCTCATCAAACATCAAAAATACGTCTAAAGAATTAACACATTATTTTTATTATTATTTTAATCCGATATTTTTAATTCTTCAAACGTTATTATAGTGGATATATCATATTTAAGATGGACGTCCCATTTTAGTTTTTAGACAGGTGTGTATTTCGTCCATGAACCTGTGCATTCGAAAATTCTAACTAAAAGAAAATGCTTTCCTCGTTACTGATTGGAACCACCGTGCTCTACTGCACGATCGTGATCGATATATATATATATATATATATATATATATATATATATATATATATATATATATATATTAGAGTCTGGAAATTTTAAATTATATCAAAAGAAGTAATTTATACAAAGAATTATTTAGCAATGTTAACATGAAAAAAAAAACATCTTTCGGTCTACACTACACACATTTCATCTTGATATCTTGCCTGTAAATGGAAAAATTGCACCCTGATGATGACAACTTGAAATTGTTGAAAGTACTTGGCTTGCCTATTCCATCTGACAGCAACTCAATATACAACTCAAATATAAAGATCGTAATATTCACGGAATTGATAGTAAGCTAATTTCTCATTAAGCCTTGTCAGTGAAGTGATTTCGCCATTAATCTCATTAACATTGCTAATTAATTCTTCGTATAAATTAATTCCTTATTATATATATATATATATATATATATATATTACGTTCAACATTACTATTACGGAGAAGTTAATGTAAATCAACCATTCTAAAATGACACTGCTGTGCAGAAAGTATAAGAATTTGTTAATAGGTTCGATTATTGTTTGTTATATTCGGACGTCAGGTTAAATAAAGTGGATATTTGTTCAAGTTGAATATGAAATTTGAAACCTTAGAATGGTGCCATATTTATGTAAATGTAGCCAGGATTGTAATCACTAACATATTTTCAATTTCAGAGACCATATGACTGCATTCAGGGAAATGATAACAATAGCATCTTGAAAATGACCATTGTGTTGTAGAGCAGTTGCACAGTGGAGGCTTGTATTTCATTAAGTCGGTCCTAAAATAGGTTCGACGTACAAAACGTTAGGAACTTGAGATAATAGGTAATGACGCAGAGAAATCTAGTGGTGTTCACTGATACTTTTAGTATCCGACTAACGTTCGTCCGACATCGACTGACTGACCAACTCACTGAGCGACTGGCGACTATATTTAGTCACCCCACCACGAGGGCATCATGTGGCACAAGGCCGGTTTAACGTGGGATCTCCGAGCCCGTTGTCCGGCCAAAAATATGCCCATTTAAACGGGTCCAGGGTCTGTTTACCTCCCCGAAAGAGAATGCGCCCTTCGGCGTAGCCTCGTTCGGGTTCCTCGCCGCCCGAAGGCGGAGAGATCAACCGGTCAGCCGGTCGTCCGACTTCAGACTGAACTCAGACCGAACCACTGAGCGACTCAGCGACGGTATTTACTTGACTCCCACGACGTCAAGATGTGACACAAGGTCGTTTTTCGTGAGGTTACTTGACTCCCGCGGGATCAAGAAGTGATACAAGGTCGTTTTTCGTGGGAAACCCGAGCGTTTCCGCATAGGGTCACTGGTCAAAGATTGGTCATAACATGTCCAAGCTGGTCCAAACTTAGTCAATGTTTTGTTCATAACATGTCCAAGCTGGTCAAAGCTTAGTCAGGTTCTGGTCTTGTCTTAGCAGGTCCTGATAGGGTCCAAACTAAACTTTGCCATGGTCGCAACCCAACCCGAAGGCCGGGCTGCGGCCTGGCCGGCTGAGCGACTCAGCGACTGACTCGTTACTATTACTACTACTACTTATTATAGGTGGGACAGTCTATTAACTATAGAATAGGTGTGTTCCACTATAACACATTGTTAGTGTAAAACGCTCCAACATTCCCTCATAAACAAGTTGTAAATAGATTGAAAAAGTTATGTTGTAAAAAAAACATGTTTCCAGTGTATGCGTTTAACAGAAGGAAGTTGGCAGTTCAACAGCATTTAAGTAACGTCAGTCAAACTCAGTCCTGAACATTGCATAAAAGGTGAGGGATCATTTATACATCACAAGGTTGCCATTTCTTTCTGTGGTAAACCAGTTGCCATCCAAGGCTATAGATCCCGATCTGTCCTTCAATTTACCCATAGCTCTGGGGAGAAGAGAAGAATTCATACTTTTCCCAATAGTGTTATCATGTAAGTGAATGGATTCGACTGGAATTCTAACTCGGTTCTCCGATTCCTGAGAATCGCTATCCATTACTCCACCGTGCCTCCTAGTAAGGGATAATATATATATATATTTACCAATAATAGCTCTATTGTATCACATCAAGCACTATTTTATTAAGTGCTATCAATATAGTCATTCTGGTGTGATTCCTTTCAATTTATAAAATTATTGGAGTATTTCTTATAAGTAGAAAATATAATCCAATATAAAAAGGGTTAATGTTTGTGCCAAAAACTAGCAAATAGAAGGATTCCTAAGGATTCCGAAAAAGAGTAATCAGAAGACAGAAGATAGCGATTGACATTGCATTTATATTTTTGAAAATTAACGTTGACTGGAAATCATGAAACAGGAAAGAAGCTTCACAAGCATGGAGTGCCAGAAAAGTAATTTTTAGCATAGAAATTAGGTATAATCTAGGCAGCTCAACTGTAAATCGATGAGACCTCGTCACTAGTCTATTACTGCGCTTTAATTCATAATGTCTAGGTACCATAGCGAACAATTAATATGAAAATATTTATGAAAACTGAACAGGAATTCAAGACATCAGGTCAGGACCAATTATATTGCTGATTCTTCTTCAGATTTTATCAAAGTTTTCTATGCTGCAAGCTTGCGCGAAATGACAATCTTTCCACTTCATCTCAGCTGAAAACATTAGCCGAGAAGGCACAACGAGTCTCTCTCCTGGATGTTAGCATCAACCATGTTAGCGAAAGATAGAAGGAGCTCTCTTAGATGATTAACATAGAGAAGTTTATCTTTGGAGACGTTAAAATTAGCTAGCCATGCTTTGCCCCAGTTATCAACAGACTGAATTATTTAAAGGATATTATGCGTGTTGCATCAATCAAGTTCTGTGCCGCTCGGATGTAGACATTGCGGTATTATTTGTATATTGTACGCAAGAATACGACCACCATGACAATATTTTAAAGTAGTACTACTCTTAGTCTGATCATCTTCGTCTATATTATTCCTCAACTTGTAACCATGTATGAATGTCTAAATCCAGTACATATATGACAAATATAAATGGTATCATTAGAGGTGGTAAAACTTTATGCTTTAAGAGTTCGCGTTTTTGTTTTGTTTTTTTTTTTGTTTTTTTGGCTAGTAAATCTCTTAACAAATGGAGCATCAACCTTATTTACGTGTGGCACCATACATCCAGGCGATTTGAAAGATATATTCATAGATATATGATTTGCTTTTTACGGTTTATCAACCATTTGAGGATTGTTTGATGTCGAAATGTATTTTAGAATTTAAGAATAATTCTTTCTTTTTGCAAGAGGATTGTGGCGCCATGCATTCAGGCGATTTGGAAGAAAGAAAGAGAAAACGAAGAAAAGGAAAAGGAAAAAGTAATACGAGACGGGTCATAGGCGAACACACACACACACGGCTTAAGAGACGGGAATAAGAAAGAAAAGGGTTGTTTTTGATAGGTGTCAAATGTCGAAAAGAGTTTCATTACAATGACAATGAGATTGAGTGGGCGAGGAGGTGTTATCTAAACTATTGGTGCGAGAAAATATCTAGGCCACCTGCGAACAAGCATTGACCGATTTCCGCTTATCCGCGAAAAATGGAATTGTGATATCAAGAGATGTCACCAAAGAAGAAGTCCACTTGGGAACGTTAGATTTTGATAATTGACAAAACACAGGTGTGGCTTGGGGCCTTGGCTGGGTATGGAAAATTAAAATCCAACACAAGTAGTTTCACTGGCTAAGTTTTTTTTTCGACAGAACAGACTTTTGCCTTGCGGTAATAAAATTTTGTTATCAAACACATGAACCGATGGAAACTGACATATTTTTATTTCTACTTTGGAGACGCCAAATTGGCGGAAAACTTGGAGAAAATTCCTTTCTTAGACCATATCAGATAATCCAGCCGTCTAGTGCATTACCGATAAACTGCTTGAC